ATGATTTGGATGATTCGTGCTGCTTCCCACTCCTCCATTTCCGTGGGAGTTTATTTGCGAGAGGGCTGCAGTCACTGCTGCTGTGATGGCAGCCTGGACCATGGATGGATCATAAGTTTATGGTGGAGGTGGTGGTGGTGTCGTGCCCGGCCTAGGCCTTAGGGTTGGACAAGGAGGCATCATGCTGCCAAAAGAAAAATGGAAAATTTATAAGATTTGGAAGTTCAGAGTTAAATGATATTGAGTTAACTTCTAATAGTTCTAAGAAGTTGGGTTTGACCGACACAATGTTTTGAGCTTGAAGGTAAAGTTTGATTAGATGTACCAATGAATTAAACGAATTGCGCGTGATTAACAACAAGAAAAAGGGGTATACCCTTATATATATTAAACATATAGTTGTGTTACAGCGGGGTCTAGACAAAAGTTCTTGACCTTTCTAAAGGCCTCCGATTACAGAACAATTTAAAGAAAATAATACTTTTATCTGAAGTCCTAATTTATAACAAAATTTGAGAGTTGGGAAAGTACTACTTGCGGCGCGCTTTGCGTTTGGAGCTCGACTCCATGTCAGACTGCTTTGACTCCATGAGGCGTCTATCAAACGTAGCTTGTTGTTCTCTCAATTCTGCAAAGGCCACATTTGCTTGTGCTTGAAATGCTTCAGTGCGAATGTGGATGTCGTTGAGCAACATCTCTAGGCGGTTGATATCGGCCGTGTGGATTTGTACCTCCACATTGACCTCTCGGATTCGGTTGGCTTGCACTCCGGATTGATAGCACTGGTTGGCGAGTTTGCCAACCATGACCGGAAGTGCTCGGTCGGCTGATCCCACGCCTCTCACATCATAGAAGTCTTGGCACATGCCATAGGGAGGGCGTAAGCTTTGTTGTTGGCTCCAATGATGGAGGTGACTTACCCACACAGGAGTGGGTCCTTTGAAGTTCCTCACATGGACGGGAGGTTGTGGGATTCGTGGATTTATAATTTCTGGCTCCGAATCCGTGCCAGAGTCATCCCCTCCCTCTAACTCTATAGGCTCTTCGTCTTCTTCAGGATCTTCTTCGATCCATCCTCCATTACCTTGGTTGGGGTAGTAGGGGTCATTGGGGTGATGGAATCCCGCCATTTAGACTGTACGAGAATAGAGTTGAAAATTTACTATAAGTTAGAGCACATGAAACTTACCCTTAAGTTTAATGGTTAACGGCACTCGAGTACTCCCTTAGTATTCTTTAACGATATGCTTTTGGTAAGTTTTAAATTTGTTGTCCATTGCAGACACTCCTTGCCATACGTTAGTCGGCTCTTGGACAAATATAGTTGATCAGGCTATATCCTTCCCAATTCCGATTACATGTCCCAAGGCGTACCTGTACTGCACAACTTATTTATAATACTTCTAAAGTTATTTACTATGAAACTGTTATTAGTATAAAATGAGTGCATGCTTACCTTAAAACTAATTAAATTTAATTTCAAAAGTATGACTTTTCTTAGAGTGCTTTTGCCCAGTTGAGTTTATAGTTGTATACCAAAAAGAAATGGTTTTGATATACTTAATTCCCTATAAACAAAGCTCTGATACCAATCTGTCACACCCCCAAACCAGAACGGCGGAAACGTTCGGGGGTGGAGGACGTCATATTCAGTATCATAACAGTTCATAGAAAGGAAAGTACACACCACCATATATATTAAAGTTTCCAAGATGTTTACATAATTGTATTCATTACATGTTCAAAAGGTAAATACATAAACATCATTCAAAAGAAGTAATTAACGCCAACGCATTAATCCCAAAAGTTGATTCCCAAACCTGCTTAGCGGTTCCTTGAGAATACAAGTTAATTCAAAGAAAAAGTGTCAACAATTAAGTTGGTGAGTTCATAAGTAGTTTAGAAAAATTGGATGCCATTCCAAAATGGGTGTATGTTTTCCAGAAAACGCAGTGTTTCAAATTTAAAGAGTTGTGATTTGTTGTGTTGAAAGTGAATGTATTAGATCCAGAAAATCCCATATTTTCCCTAATGGTTGAGATACGAGTTGTTGTGTTTTTCAAGAAAAACCCTTATTTTCTTATAAAAGTATGAAATGCATATGAATATTCGTGTTATAAGTTGTAAATAATTCCACCAGGAAAATCCCTTATTTTCCTATTAGTTGTTTGGTTTGTATGCAGGAAAAACCCTTATTTTCCTAACATAAATGGCAGTCTCTAAGACCGAAAATCGCAAGAAACCGTCGTTCTCAAAAGTTGTGTCATAGTTTTATATAATAAAGCTATACGAAGATGGCATTTGTTAGATGAAGAATAGTTTTAATAGCTACTCGTTCATAAAAGCATAATACCATAATAATTGTATATCCGATGAGTTTTATAACCATACTAAACATAATATGCCTGTAACGACGTTCTTCAGGCGTCGCAGCGTTATGACAACTGTCACCCCAAAAGACGGACTGTAGCTAACAGTCAGGGCGCGAGATCATGACTTCCCGTATAGATCTATACACATTTGACACGTTCTCCGAACGGGAGACTCTGGTTATAGACAGGACTTGCAGCATTACTTTCTAATAAAGAAAAGTAACGTTTGAAGATATACACGTCTCATGGATTCTCAACTAAGCCTGTATTAAAGTGATAGTTTTGTATGCAAAGTTTATCCTTTTTCACAATGTTTGACAAAGCAAAATCATAAGTTTTTAGAATGTATAAAACGACTTATCAATGAAAGGTACTTTGAAATCATTATATACTTCGTATAAGTCTAATGCACACAAAGTATGACAAGAGTTTTCCATAGTAGTAATGAGTTCCAAGTGATTTATTCGATAAAACAAGTGAAGTTAAACTTTATAAAATACACGATAATAACCGTATGTTTACTTGTATTCCCCCCTAAAAGAGTATAAAAGCATTTAAAATGTATTTAAAGTGTGTTTGAAAGGGGTATGAACTCACTTGAAAGTTTGAAGATGGCAAGATGGAAAACCGGGCAGAGTTTCGTCTCGGGAAATGGATTTTCCTCGGGATTCTCGGCATTCCTCGGGAGTAAAATCGACCTTCGGGACTTGCACAAAATGACCAGGGCTTCGGGGTAGTGCGAGCACGGAAAACGAGGTAAAACGCAAGAAAAAGGAGAGAGAATGAGCCATTTGCCCGGGAACCCTCGCATCCCTTTTATAGGGGGCTGAGAAGCATGCGTACGCGGGGCGTACTCCCGTACGCGGACGTCATTGCTGACCGCATCCTCGGCTGCAGCGCTTCGGATGGGACGGGGAGGGGGGCAGCTCGCATAGGGGCGACGTGGACGATTCGAGGCCGTGGCCTCGAGTACGCGGGGCGTACGAGCGTACGCGGCACGTACTACGGCCCTAGGCTGACTCCCCTTCGGATAATACCGAATTTTTAATAAAAATTATATATAAATTATTTATCAAACTTTAAAAATTCATAACTTATTGATACGATGTCCGATTTGAGCGTTTTTTATGCATGTTTGTAGTTCAACGATATCTATGACTTTCATTTAGATACCTAAGATCAGAAAGTGTTTTACTGAAACTTTGCATTTTTACGCAACTTCGTATTGCCGGTTTTTGTCAGAAAACTTAGAATGATCATAACTTCTTTGTTATAACTCGGATTTTTGTGTTATTTATATGTTTGGAAACCTTAAGAAGATACCTACCACATAGTGTACTCCAAATAGAGTTTTTGAATACTTCATTTTTCGATGATATTCTAATTCCTTTCTCAAAGAGGTTACAAGACTCGATTTTTGCTGACTTGAAATAACGGGTTGTTACAATGTCATTTTTCCAAAATATGAAGCATAGAAGACACCTATTTATGTGTGCTCTACAATTAGTGCCCAACAAAAAAATTTAAAAACACGGAGGGAACCTAAAATAAAAAAGTGCGTCGTGTAGAATTGTTGCTTTATAATTTTTTTCATCAACACGCGTTCTTCAATTTTTTAATTGCAAAGGGGGGAATGAAATACCAAAAAATTGAAAACCCCGCCTGATACTCTCCTCCTTCTTCTTTGTATGTTGTGAAATCCTCTTCGATGAAAAGAAACCCTAAAAGCATTGTGTGGGTTCGTAATATGCGATTTTTAGTTGTGAAGTTCCGGAAATCATATTTTTAACTTCGATATGCGATTTTTCTGAATTGGTATTTGGTGTGTAGAAGATCGATATTCTGATATTTTTGAAGTTCTTAAAATCCTCTTCCATCAAATAAAACCCTAAAACACCACCTGATACCCACCTCCACTACCTCCAACCCACACCAAATCTTCAAACCTCGCATGATGACGATGTACAGGCGGTGGGGATTGTCATTCAATGCGGCGAGTGAATCAGGAGCGATAGGTCCTCACTCTTAATGGCTGGTTTCCAGTTGCAATTGACTTGGCAAACGAGTTTGTTGTTGAAGAAACGAAAGAACGATCCTCCATTAGGGTTCAAGAATCTCGGTAATACCTACTACCTCAACGCCGTTCTCCAGTGCTTAACCTATACTCCTTAATAGAGGGAAAATGGAAATCCCCAAAAAAATTAGAAAAACCCGCTCGTTTCTCCTCCACCTTTGTTTCCCTCTTTCATCTCACTCACAACGCCATAGATTGAGGATTATGTGACTCCTCAATTTCCTCATTCGCTCCTCGCCGTTTCCATCTGCCGCCATCCCTTGCCGTCTCCTTCCATCTCCAGTCATGTCCTCACCAAATCGACAAAAGAATGCTTGCTTTGAACCGCACCTCAAAAAATTAGGTCATGTCCTCTCGCTCACAAAGCCGACGATTGAGGATTTTGCTACTCCTCAATCGCCTCCTTCTCTCCTCACCTTTTTTGTGTGTAAGCCTCCTTCAACGTCTCCTTCCATTTCCGACATTCTACTTCTCCCCTATACATTCTAATTCTCCCTGTACATTTCCATTACTTTGATAATAATTTGATCTCGTCCATCACTCTGTACAAATTCATGGCCAAATACAATTGTAAGAAGGTATGTACCCTGACTTGTCTTTGACATTGATCTTGGATTCAAGATATATTCGCCTAATTTTAAATGTTAGCAGTTGGTATTCTCTTCATCAACAACTGTGTATAGACAGCTGAAGAAAATTCCATGTGTTGAGGACTTTGAACTCAAGGGAATGAACCCATATAGGCGCACAAAGGTAGTAGCCAACGAAGAGTTTATATAATTGATACAAATGTTTGAAATTTTATTGTTTATATGTGTGTTGGTTAGCTGTTCCTTGAAGAGATTGCTCGAGATATTCATAATGCAGATTGGGAGTGGAAAATAATACTGCTGACTTCTCTTGTGGCTTCGTTTTTTGATTGATGGAAATCAAAGATTCCATTAAAGAAGAAAGGTTTTCCAGCAGCATATGAATCAACCTTTGAAGCTGAAAAAAACACCAATGTATTTATTTGGAAGGAATGGAATTTGTGATTGGAGTTGAACTCCAGGGGAATTGGAATCTGAAGAAATTGTATTTTGTCATGTCTTTGGTTTGGCAAGAAATGGAATAGAATTCATAAAAGTCTCAATTTACTTTAAATGGAATGGAATTCAATAATTAAAACTGAATAATTTTTAGGAAATGGAATAAAATCCATCAAAGGTATTTAGACACTTAACTCTTTTTTTTTTCTAGGGACAAAGTCATCTTTTTATACTTTTCCTTTCCACGTAGGCAGCTGCAAGAGTCTGGAGAGATGGGCAGAAGAAGAGAGTATACATCTATAGGTTTTTGAGCACTGGAACTATTGAAGAAAAGGTAACAGAAAAATTACAAATATTTCTACTATTTTTGCTTTTTCTATTTTCAGTTTAGTTAAGCAAAGGGTAAAATTTATTCAACAAACACTAGCTAAGTAACATTCAGGTATTTCAGTATTTGTTACTTCTTTTCGAACATATGCAAATGCTTCTTGATGAATAATAATAAATATCACACCTCATGAATTCAGGGGACAAATCTATCTACTGAGGATCTACGGGATCTATTTACATTTCATGAGAATGCAAAGCAAGTTTACTTTTTTATAAACTGTATTCTTCATGCATTGGAGGTGTGTGTGGAATTTGATTCAAGTAAAGATATATAAAAAATATATAGTAAACTTATATTTTAACAAGATATTAACAATAATGGTAATATTGGTTTTATAATGTTGTTATAGAATGATTTGGTGCACGGATGGGGTTTGGATATTGCACTTCGACCATGAAAAATAAAAACTAATACTTGCAAAACTAGTAACTAGTAACAAAAGTAAAATCTATTTTTCAAATGTTGTTATAGAATGATTTGGTGCCAGATGAGATAGCTCCAAAGAAGGTGATGAACATTGTTAGACGCCTAGAAGAAGGCCTGTTCAAGACTACAACCACAAAAGTAAAATCTATTTTTCTTTGCATTGAATTTTGAACGAATCCATCTAGTTGATATCCGGAAACATATCCGACTAAATATACAAATTATTATATGTTTTATAGGAGGAATACATGAATTTAGATACATTGGAAAACCGTTTACATATTCTAATCAGACGCCTCCCGTTGTGCAACCAAAATCAACATTATCAGCAACAAGGCAATACCTCTGTTCCCATGGGAACAATGATTCCAAATCTGGGCATGGCACAAAGTGGGAACTCAAATATAATGGCCACATGATGCCATCACCTGTGCACACAGGAAACCTTTTACCTAATACCACCCGAATTTCCAATGGGATGCAAAATGGTTCCTTGGGGTCGTCTGATGGTAAAATTTGTCTCTTATTATTTTATATTATTGACTTTCCTTCTACTCTGTATCAAAACATTGGATCCACTTTGGCAGGAGGTTTGATGAATGGTTACCAATAGTCAACATCAAAGTTTTCAAGTGGAAATAGTTTCATTTCATCAATGGGGGCACAAAGAATGGACAGCTAGATGATGCCTACTCCTGGATTTAATAATAGTAATACTAATCAGTCTTACATGAACACAAATATGTCCAACAATGTTGTTGGGCTATCGACTATTGACTCAACAATGGTATCTTAGTCTCAGCCACTGAACCAGAAGCAGCAAGTCAGTGTCCAAAACAGTCGCATATTACATAGCCTTGGGAGCCATACGGGTGGGGGAATCAGGTCTAGTTTACAACAGAAAGCTTATGGATTTTCAAATGGCTCAATAAACAACGGATTAGGAATGATGCCCAATAATTCACCTATGACGAATGCTTCAAGAACCTCAGAAAGCTATGTGATACCTTCTCATTATGGGAACATGAATGTCCATCAACAACAGATGTCACAGGGTACTCTCTCTCTCTCTCTCTCTCTCTCTCTCTCTCTCTCTCTCTCTCTTCTTTTGGCACGGTAGTATCCTCTTTAATGTTGATGGGGTACTTAATACGTATACTTTGCAGGTGATGGTTATGGGAGTAGCACCACTAATTCTTCTCGAATAGGAAACTGTTATGTTCCCACAACCTCAAATACATCAATGATGAATAATCAAAACATGAATCCAGTAAGCTTGCATGCACTACATACACGAGTGCTCCTTTGATGGTCAATCAGCCAAATTTCGTCAATACTCAGCAGGCAAAAAAGATGAATTTCAGGTTTCAGCATTCACTACATGAGACTCCTATGCAATCTCAGCAACATGTTCATTTTCAACAACTTGTTCAAAATCAAAGTCAACAGATGCAACAGAATCGACATTTGTTATATGGTCAGTCTCAGCTGTTGGCTTTCAATGGTATGTTTAAAAGTTTAGTTTGTAAACAATTATTTTGTTTCAGTAATTATTGTAAAATAAAGTAGAGCTACAGATATACATTGTTTTTATATTATAATCTTATTTCGGTTTTAATGAGCTTTCCATGTCTTATTTGTATTTTTAACTAAATTACAATTTTATTTTCTAAAAATAACTAGAAAATCATTTTTTTTATTAATCTTATTTGGATTTTAGTGAGCTTTTTGTATGTTTAATTTTTTTAGTTTGTAAATAAAAGTTCCATTAATTATAGTTGCATAATTAATGAAATTACATCACTTGTTAGTCCCACGCAAAAGGAAAAATGAAATTACATCACTTGTTGAGGTAATCTTTATCTGGATTCTTGTAAAATTAAGTCAACTCTAATTTAAGTTTTGATTCTAAAGACTAAAATAAGTTTAAATTTTGATGTGAATATGTTAAGATACACTGACTCAATCAAACTTTGAGAATTATAGCTCAAAAGCTCGTGATTCTCTAAGTAAGTTAGCTTTTTACCCTTTGATGCCTTGAAAAACACTCCTTGTTTGTTTCCTTCATGCATATGACAAGCATCTGCTCGCCAAGTAAGTTACCTTTTTACCCTTTGACTTTCTTGGTCAAGGTACTTGACTAATTTCTATGTTGCATGAAAAAGAGTATTGACTATTGAACCCTATTGATTTTAAATCAAATTATCAAATCATATATAAACTACCCAAACAATATTCAAATTTTATTTTATCGACTCAATTTTGCAGACGAGCATTGTGTTTACATTAGAAGAAAGCCCTAGTGTCTTGTTCAATGCTTTAGCTGTGTTTGCTCTAAGGGAGATCAACTTATCAAAAGTAAGTTATTTTTTTCACCATTTTATTTAATATTTTGTGATTGAATGAAAGTCTTAATGAAAGTAATTAACAACCCTTTTTCTATAAATGATGTTGTGATTGTGGGAGAGGTGCTATGTTTTTCTCTGTTGCTAGGTAACCTTCTCAACAACAACATTCTACTTAAGCAGGTGAGTAATCAAGATTAAGGGAGACTTGTAATCATGTTTGGCATTCCTTTCCATTACACATTAAGCAGGCGGTACGCACACAAGATGTTGTCAAAAACAAATATCATGAAATGTTTCCAGTAAGAAACAAACTTGTATGGTTATTTGTTAGTTTTATATGAATGTATAACCCATGTTAGCAATGTATTATTTTTGTTTAACATTTGAGTGATTCTTTATATGACATTATAATTTTTTTAATTTATTTTATTTTTTGAGTATGAAATTTTATTTTATATTATAAAAATTTAATATAAAAATTAACAAGTATATAATTTTTTTTACACATTTAAATTTACGATACGAAATAATGTGTGTCATCTTCATTTATGACATGGTCTTTCTTGACAGGGGCTTTCTTGATACGCACTGCATGTCGTCTTCATTTGTGACAGGGCCTTCCTTGATAGGCATTGTGTGTCATAAACGCGCATCGTAATTGCGCATCATAAATGAGCGTCGTAAATGTGTGTCGTCTATAGACGACGCGCAAAAGCGCGTCATCTCTCTTTATGACAGGGCCTTTCTTGACGCGCATTTGCGCGTCGTCTGAGCCTTTTACGACGCGCAATGAGCGTCATAAATGGTTGTTTTTCTAGTAGTGAATGGAAATACTTTTACGCACTCGAAGGATTAAACTTACAAATGCTCAAATCTGGAAAATATTGGATTTTCTATGGATTTTTACTATTCTCAAACATTAATCATAGCTTTTATATTACATGATTTTAAACACTTTTATACAAGCAACGACACTAAATTCTTATGAACTCACCAGCTTTATGCTGATACTCGTTTTCAAAATAACTTGTATTCTCTGGTCAAAAATAGATAAGTACTGGTGCAGCTTTTGAGAAGATGGAGTATATACAAGACCATCTTTTATTTTTTTATACTTTTGGTGTCTATCAAACTGTACAGAACACGGTTGTATTTACAATTACTATTTTAAGGCAATGGTTTTTGTCGCTTGTTTTTACTATTATGAAATTGTTATTATACTGTACATGACGTCCACCACCCCATAATGTACTCCGTTGTTCTCGGTTTTGGGGTGTGACAGATTGGTATCAAAGCATTGTGTATAGTGAAACGAGTATATCAACCCATAAAAGATATACGAAGTATAAACACTTCGGGACTAAAACACTCTGACCAAGAATATATACTTTTAAATGCTAAGACATTTATTAAGTATATATATATATATATATATATATATATACACACACACATTCACCAATACAAAGGGTCAGTATCATACTAGAACAAAACAAAAGTATTAAAATTGTTGAACAACACAATTAAGATAAGAGACATATAGTTACATATGGGTGGACGTAGAACGATCAAGTACATTTTTCTAGGAGTGAGTAGCATGTGCCCAAGAGTGATTGTGGTGTTACAACAAGTCTAAAAACTTACCAACACTACCACAAGAATGTTAGAAAAAGAATACTATATGAGTATTCTGTATTCTACTAACTACATATGTGATAACTGAAAGGGTCGTTACTAGTAGGACGATAGTTGCTAAGTGGATACACCACGGTTACATGTGACTAGGGCGCTATAGACTTAGAATCTGTGACCTTTGCTTCATTTCCTGTTCTTGTTTGATTGGGGATCTGGAGTTAGGGTCGCTTATTCGAAGGACTATCTTGCTTCGGTTACATGTAATTGGTATGCACTATGCAAGTAATGGGTCGACTAATAACAATCATCTAATAAGTATCCTAGATTAGTACGTCTATTAACCTTTCTTTCCCCATTCTTGTGTAGATAGCATGGCTGGCTTCCACCTTCCTGACGATCTGTATTATCTGAACCAAGGCAATGAAGGATGGATCGATGAGGAGCCACAAGATGATCACCCGATCCCTTTGGATGATCAACGTGCTGAAGGCTTTCCAGATAGCTCCGACTCCGAACCAGAAGTCAACAACCTGCCCCCAGTAGCTCCAAACCCTAATTTCCGTCCGACATTACAAAGTCCCACCCCCATGTGGGCAATCACCTTGAACCGATGGAGTAATGAGCAGGGTCAGCCTTTACCTTTCAATGGAGACCAAAGCTTCTACAACATAAGCGAAGGAGGATCAGCGGACCAATTGTTGCCTATCATGGTCCGTTGGATTGCCAGGAACACCAAGCAAGGCCAAGCAACCATTGGCAGAGTCGTGGAAATTGATGCCAACTCCAACCGTAACATCGTCCGTATCTGTCAGCTGGAAGAAGATATGGATAGGACTAGGAGAACCAATGAGGATCTACAGCAACAGGTAGCCGCATCCCGAGCTGAAGTTAGAGAACTCCAAGGACATCAGAGAGCACAGGAACGACATCTTTAAGAAGTTGTGCGCCAAATGGCTTATCTGAGGGTTCACCCATTGGATACCCGTCGCTAGTAGAAGATGTCTACTTATCTTTCCCTTTTGTTTAAGGAATAGCCATTCTCTCTCTATGCTCGGTAGAGCACTTGTCTGTAAACATTTCTAACTCTGAAAGTACTTTACCTAGACTCCTAGGCTGCCAACATTTTCCTTTATGATTTGATGTAAGGCCTACTGTTAGGTCACTTTACCCGAACTCATATTACATTATTAATACTAGTAATATTGGCAGTTACCTACTCTGTTACTATGACCCTATTTGATAGTTGGACTGTGCCGAATTAGTCCGTGAAATGCTCTCATCATATATGCAATTGATTCTCACTACTGTCATCATCTCTATAAACTTTCAGTAAAAGATGCCTCCCCGCAAGCGCATGAACAAAGGCAGACATGCGACTCAAACTCCACCTCCACCACCTCCTCCTCCACAGTTCGATCATGTGATGTTTCAAACAGTTGTAACTGCAGTTGTAACGGCCGCTATGGCTCAAATGCATTCCGGTGATGCCAGTGGAGCTGGAATGGGCATCAACTTCAGGCATGGTGAAATTCCCTCACGTACACAGGGGTGTACTTATAAAAATTTCATTAACTGTAAACCGACATTTTTCAATGGGACCGGAGGAATCCTTGCTTTATCACAATGGATTGAAAGGACTGAAGTTGTCTTCGAAATGTGCTCATGTCTCAAAGAAAGCAAAATAAAGTCCGCTGTTGCCACTTTCACTGAAAAGTTTTTTCTCTTTAATTTTTTGCCACCCAACTTCTTCTTCTCATTCAAATGCCACAATAAATCGTATTCTTCTCTTCCTTCATATCCCACTTTTCCCAACACCACCTCTTCCACCTAATCAGATGTTGCACTGCCATGGAAATCATTCGTTACCTTTCTCTTGTGATTAGATCTATTCTCATTCTGAAAGCTCCCATTCTTAGATATCAGTTGATAACCCTGCTCTCCTATCTTCATCGCTCTGCTACTTCACCTCCGCTTAGACCAACGCTAGATAACCTCCTTCTGTATGCCAATATCTACTGCTCATCTATTTTACCCTAAATTGAACATTATCTCTTGCTTTGGTGGATTTTAAAATTGTTGTGCTTTTGTAGGTGGGATATACTACTCCTATTGAAGTCGTTCTGAGGAGTCAACCACAATTTAACGCCAGCTAGCTGCTCTGTTACCTCCCGTACCAGAGGGGTTATACCTCGGAAGAATTGAAATAATCAATAACTTTGTAGCTCTATGTTTGTCACTTACGAGTTACGTCAACGGGAATCCGATCCTCAGCCGCACACGTTGAATCCTCGGTTAAGGAAAATAGAAAAATCAGCCTGTGCGCCACCGCACAATTGCGTAAATATTAAGCAGGAATCGAGCCCTTTTCGATTACTATATAGATACGAGTTGAGAAAGTAGTTATAGAGAGAAATTGAAACCCCTATTGAGTTTTGGTATTAAGGAGGCGATCAATGGTGGTGGGTGCGAATTCGCAAGCTCAAGTTGTTCCGAGAGGTCGGAGACCTGATGCACATGGAGGTTTCCATGTCCTTCCGGATGAAATTGTTTGTTCGATACTGACTTTGATCTCACCTCGTGATGTCGCTCGTCTTGCTTGTGCTAGCAGGTTGTTAAATTTCTCATCCTTTTCTTCCAAATTCGAAATTCCGATGTATATTATGTTTATAGAAGTAAGAAAAGGTTACTAATTTGGGAGATTTCCGTGGATGATCTTACATATGGGCTTCATTAATGATTACGATTAGAATGAATGCTTATTGTGATCTTCAAACAATAGGCAATTCACTAGTGTGATTTACGTATTCCTTTCAAGTTTTCCGTACGTTGACAAAAACTGAACTTAGATCTATCAAAGATCTTACTGCATACTTTTTTAAGCTTTATAGCAGTGTTTACAAAGTAGTTCTCTTGTCACTATCTTGCAAATTCATAGAGTAAGAATTAATTAAGTGAGATTAAATCTACTTAATAGGGGTTATGATTTGTAGTGTGATGTATATCCTCTACAATGAAGAACCTTTGTGGATGAACTTATGCCTTAATAATGAAAATCGTGAGCTTCAGTACAAAGGATCCTGGAAGAGGACAACACTTCATAGGTATGCTTTCAGAATTTCCTTTTGCTTTAATTCAATTTATATGATATTAATAACACGCCTAATATAAGTTGCAGATTGCAAGTTCCGAGTAAATGTGATGATGATCCTTGAAGAAAACCACTACACTTTGATGGTATTCAATTCTATCACATGTCATAGTTTTCAATTCAACAATTTGGTTGCTTTACTAAATGTTACATGGTTTAAGTCTTTATTCCTGTATAAGAGATTATATCGTTGCTATACTCAGTTAAATGGGTTTACTTTTGATCAAGGAAATGTTGAAAGAAAGACATGCATTCAACTACATGAGTTCCTTCAACAATATGATGCACATAAACCTGTAAGACATTCATTTAATTCAAAAAGTTATATGAACTTGTATTTTTATATTATTTGATTCAGAAAGTTATGCTATCTTGCTCCATGTAGGTTCTAATTTATCTATTGGCTGATACTTGGGCTACAAGAAAAAACCTGGACTCCTGAACATCTATTACTCAAATATGGAACTACACCTTTCGGAATCTCTCAAAGAAGTGCTAAAAAACTATCCATGAAGTTTGAGGATTATGCGTCCTACATGCAAGAACAATATAATGAGCATCCCCTATGCATTTTTGATGACAATGTACATTTTCTTACTCTCATTTATTTCTCCACCTCCCCATTTTCTATTGATACCTTAAAAGAAATGTGGCTTTGTAATTGCAGTTTGGAGAAGTTTCACCAGATTTATTAAAAGATTACAATGTGCCAAATCTATTCCCATATAACTATTTTGATGTATTAACTAATGATCAGAGACCACCTTTTAGATGGCTTATCATTGGACCAGAGAGATCTGGTGCATCTTGGCATGTTGACCCTGCTCTTACCAGTGCTTGGAATACTCTTTTGTGTGGGCGTAAAAGGTAATTTTTATAAAGTAATTTTCATAATTTTCGTAACTTTGTTATAAAGTCGAAAGGATTTAGCTGATTACATGATTGATGCAGTTGTTTTGAGAACAAAAAAAACAAGGTACTTTTAAAGTTTTTTCTTTAATCAAAAAATTCCGAAATAAGCTGCCGTAGGCTTGGATGGAGCTACATATGGTGAAGAGGAATGAGATGAAAAAAGTCCGTTAGTATACAATTCAAAATGGGTGCTACTGAATATCACATAATGTTGGGAGTTGATCATCGGATTGCAATAGATCCATTGTCTATGAGGATGAGAGAAGATCAAATTAAGCAAAGTAAGTTTTCCAATTATTAAGTTAATGCATAAATCATAATTAGACTTTTTACAAATTTATCCTTGGTTTTGTAGTATGGGGTGGAGATTAGGTTTATCCAACAGTGAACTACATTGAAGATCCACATCAAGTGATTGATTACAGGGGTCCTTTTAGTAAACTTAACATTTTTTAAAAATAAATGCTTTTATATATAATTTTTCATTGATTAAGCTAACATTTACTTTTCTATTATTCATCAGAATGGAAATATAACATCAAAGGATGAAATTGATGAATGATTGACATCAGAGAAGGTTGAAAAAGTAAAGGTAATAAATAAGCCTCCAATATTGTTTTTTGTTTTCTTCAATGTATTATTTTCAATTACTCATTTCACTGTTTTCATTTTGTAAAAATGTTAAATTAACAGTTTGTGATGATGAAGGTACAGGTAAATCTACGGGTAAATCTGTTGACATTAGTGATGATGAGGGAAAAAAATTTAATGTTGAAAAGTGCTCATGGCCTTTGCAAATCAAAGGTAATCCTTTTAATCCGTATTCTCTCATTTTACCCATTTGAACCATAATTGAACTTTTTTTTCTTTGTAAATAGGTCAAAATTTGTCAAGGAAAGGCAAGATGACATTGGAGGAAGCTATTGCCGATTCTCAAAAGTTGACTGATTTCATGTTAGACTTCGATCAAGATAACGATCTTCCAATGTAATTTTACAAGGTACATTATCTATTTCACATTGATTATAAAAAAAAGTTGAATATTCATATGCTATGAAACATGAAGATTGTGAGCATTAAATATGATTGTAAATTAGATAATTGTGAATCTATGGAAGATGATTTAGTGTTAGCTGAAGGACTGGCTGTTGGTTGCATGTTTTTTTTTATCTTATTTAATGGCCGATTTTTCTTAAACAATAAATTAATTTTTGGACCAAAGACCCCTTCATTAATTATCTCTATTTCTTGAAGGGGCCAAAGAAACAAGAAAGAAAAATTAGAGGGGTAAAAATAAAGCTAATATAAACCATTTTTTGCTAATGTAGTTGGTGCGATGTAACTAATATGAACATCCCTCATACTAGGCTGGACCAACATCCAAACCTGAAAGAAGAAAAAATAAAATGACTCAGTGCCAACGGGCGCGCATGATTCCCATCTAGTTATGTTTAAACATCAAACACTTGACCTAATTACCCATCCCCTTTATCTTCTTTACTCTTAATGATCTACCCTAAGAATTAGATATTCCTCGTTCATTCATTCCTAAGGATCATCCAAAGGAATCTGCACGAAATCCATCATTTCCAGGGTTTATTCAATTGGCACTAAGTCGCATAATCGCCAGTGTTTAGGCACTAAGTCTCATAGTCGCCAGGGTTTATACAACAGGAACTACGTCAAGTAGTCTCCAAGGTTTAGGTACTAAGTCTCGTAGGCGCTAGGGTTTATACAACAGGCACTACGTCGCATGGTCACCAGGGTTTAGGCACTAAGTCTCATAGTCGCCAGGGTCTAGGCACTAAGTCTCATAGTCACCAATGTTTACTTATATCCCCTTTCATCCCTCCTCGTTCATCTACCGATGTTTTACCCAACATATTCGTAGATATAAACTACATATATAGTTTAAATCATTTAAAACATGTGTAAAATCGTTCATCCAACTTCGATAACAAGTATACATGTTATATGCACACATATCACGTAATTTATATAAAATACTTGATATCTATGTGTAAGATGAAAGTAACTATGCACTCACTTGTTAAAGTGATGAATCTGAGCTTAGACAGAGCTTCGCTTCTTAAAAGTAATTTTCCTTTGAAAAACCTAGTATCATTAACACTAGATTTTAGTCTAACGTTCATCGTAACTAATTAATATGCTTAGTATTATTATTATCATATAATAGTTAGAAAAAATATTGTTCACCCACTATGTACAGACAGGGGCCAGACATGAAACACCAGAGGGTAGGACCATTTTGGCATATAGCACTTTTGAAATCCAACAACCCAAGCAGCCTTTCAAACCATATTCCCCGTACCGCGAGTGGTTAAGAAGATATTATAACGACACTTATATAACTCATAATAATAGCCCAAATAACTATTATAAGGTCCTAATAATGTTACTATATTTAAATAAAACCTATATGTAAAATAGGGTATGCATAGGACACTTACAATGGGTTTTATTAAAAAACGGGCTTTGTTGGAGCAACGTTTCTGAGCCGAAAAGCTCTTTTTCTCGGAGCCGTCGGGAGCTCCGGGGCTTCCTTCTCGTGCTAGTGAGGTACCCTAGGCTTTGGGGGGTTTGGTGGAGTTAGTGAGAAGTTAGAGAGAGAAAGAAAGGCTTATGGTGTGAAGAAATATAAAGGATTCATCCTTTATTTATAGGGATTTTATCGTAGAGTAGCCCTTAAGTTCCGTCCATGTCATCCACGTACTAGCTCTATTTTCTACATTATGTATATCCACATGTCGGTATTTATGAGTACTACAACGCTTATTTAGATCCCGTCGGCTAATTCTCATTGTATCTCAGATTTACAAAACTTTATCGAATTCGCCGTGCTTGAAGAGTATAGACTAAGTTTCATCCATATCTTTCGCATACGAGCTATATTCTCAACGTTCTTTATATCCATGCTTTGGTATTTATGGGTAATACAACATTCATTTATACCTCGTTGGCTAATTCTTATTCTATCTCAAACTTACAAAACTATATCGAATTCCCCGCACTTGAAGAGTAGAGACTAAGCTTCATCCATATCTTTCGCATACGAGCTCCGTTTTCGACTGTCTTTTTATCATTTAACTCCTATTAACGATATCTTCATTACTTTTTATATTATTTTTGCTAAAAATCGACTGATCTAAAATTCGAATTTCGGGTTTTGGACGTTCTTTTTATGAACGCTCTAGGTTTAATGAATACTACAACTTTTGTTTAGATTGCTAAGGCTAAAAAGTATTTTATCAAAAATTCACTTTTTACGTTACGTGGTGTCGTGCGAGTTTAGCCGTAAAACTTCGACGAGTCATAACTTCTTCGTTATAACTTGGATTTCAGCGTTCTTTATATGTACGGAACCCTTGTGACATATAATATAACATGGTTAAGATTATTTTTTATAAATTATCTTCTATTAAAAAGTCGCTTTTGACGCTTATCGTCTCTAAATTGACTAGCCGGATCTGCGGGCATTACAATTATCTCCCCCTTAGGATGATCATGTCCTGGAATCATCAACAAAATAGGGCTTGTATACTGACTCCATACGTAATCTCTTCATCCTAGGTAATAACCATAACCTCTATGTTTCTTCGAACGAGTATCTGACTCTTGGACTTCTTAACTGCATGCGATGCTCGATCTTGCACCCGCTCTCTATCTCACTTCAGACTTTTAATCGTGACCTTCAAGTCACAATCTTGATGCTTATTGTAGAGACTTGCTCCTTCAGAAACAATCTTTACTTCGATTACTGTAATAGACTGATGGGACATTTTGTAATGACATGTCATCGTATGATGCAACACTTAGACTCAAGTCTTTTAGAGTCAAATACATAATGGAATATACCTTACTTCGTGTTCTAATGTGATATAATCACATTCTAGCATGTATCACTTCTAGGTACAAGCTTCTAATCTTAACAATGGTTGCGATACTTCTATTGATCGCTTCAATTATCTTTCACTTCAATCTTCTGACTTAAGTCAAATGCTACATTAATCTTGGTTCACAGAACCATGTAACATACTCATCTTAGTCGGACTCGACATGATATGACCACTAGTGTCAGAATAATAATCATCTTCTTAGTCATTATCGAAACGATGGTAATCACATACATGAACAAAACAGAATCAATTACTAGCGCCTTGGTAACCTTGTGACTTTCCCTGATCCAAGTGTGAGTCATCTACTTCCTGTAGTTTAGGCCGGTACTACCATTCACACCTACTCATACTCGTTCCAAGTATTGTCTCGTAGTTTTCCAAGTCACCGTACAAGAAGATCACATAGCAACTTAACATACTAGATAACAAAACGAAGGCTTTATATTACTCCTTTAAATGATTACATAGGTATTCAAATTCACCCTAGAGTATGCCTCTAATAGGCTACACCATACGACGCTATTCGTATGGCTATTGCATAACTTGATGAAGTCCTCATCCTTGATTCCTTGCATTGTTTTCTGCTTCGTCGAGGATCATGTGGAATTCCCTTGGCTTTGGTGGTGTGTTTGGCCTCGCTGCCTCATTTTTCTTTGGGCAATATCTAGAAATATTCCCTTCTTTGTTACATCCGTAGCATGCCTTCTTGTTGGGCGCGCACTTGTTGGCATAATGCCCCATCTTCCCACATTTATAGCAAGTCATCTCCTCGCTACACTTCCCGAAGTGTTTCTTTTTACACCCCTCACACCACTTAGCTTCACCTCCACCTCTAAATTTTGAGAATTTGCTTTCTTTGTTGGTCTTTGAAGATCCCTCATACTTACTTTTCTCGCCAACTTCGAGCTTATTGGTGTAACAACCCGAAATTTTCCATCGCAAAAAAAAAAGAAAAAAACCGTTCTACCCGTAAAAATTCGCCGTTTATCGACTATATGGCTTACCAATTCAGAATTAGAACACCCTAATCACAATTTTTGAAGAGTAAAAATGAGTTTTGTGCCCAAGAACAATCTTGGGCCGTAAACTCCATATCATGGAGAGTAAACACATATTAAAGGGGGTTTTTAAGCCCTTAAACCCTTCCAAAACACCAACAAGGCTTAGATACGACTTGTAGAATTATGGATTTGACCTTGGAACACCTTGACCATCAATTTAGAGGAGTAAACTTGAGTTTACTGCCCAATATCATGCTTGGTCCGTAAACTCATTGTTCTTGGAGAGTAAACTCCTCTAAATGTGTTAAAATGCCACTTTAACACACCTAAAGCCTTAGGATAAATTGTAGAAGTGTTTACAAACAATCATTGGACCTTAAAACATATAAAATCACCCATTCATAAGAGTTCACGGCCATGAGGGTGTTCATGGGCCGTAAACTCCAAAATCTAGGCCAAACGTCCCTTAAAAATTCATACAAGGCTTAGGAAAAATCATTAGAATCATGTGTGATTAATTTAGGACCAAAAGTTTAAGTATTAGATGTGAGGGGGGAGTTTACGGCCGTAAACTCCATGTTTACAGCTGTAAACTCCAATAAATGGTCCCTATGTGTGTTATAATCCATTCCAAAGCCAAAAACCCAAGTCTAGCAATTATTCTCGAGTGTTATGAAGCCATTTTGCATCCAAAATCAACCTCCATGAGTTCTCAGCCGTAAAATCATATGGATGAGGTGTTTATGGTAGTAAACTCCCTAAAAAGTCTACTCTTGAAGGGTAAAATCAATTCCCACATCCCACGCATCAATACACGTCCGTAGATGTCACTCGGGTCACTCCAAACACTTGTTTTGAAGTGTTTTCGCTCATTAGAGTGTAATATCATATCTAATTAGAGTTTATAAATCTAATTAGATATATTTGTATACTATTTCGTATTACATAGGAACCTCGCATGTTATCAAACCTTGAATCGACACTTAGCATCCAGAACGTCGCGTTTCTCAACCGGTGAGTTCATACCCCTACCCTTTTTCAATGGTTTTTAAATGTTTTCAGGGGGGAATACA